CCTACCTCTCTCTCTCTCTCTCTCTCTCTCTCCTCCCCCCACTAAGATTCATCTCTCTCTCTCTCTCTCTCTAAACAATCACATCCACAAGGTACTCTCTCTCTCTCTCTCTAACTTATGAATGGGAAACTCCTGCAATTCCACAGAGACATGCTTCATGAAATAAATAATGTACCATCATACTCCAAGAGAATATTATTTTACAAATGACCTAAATACCCTTCATCGGGAACAAGGGAAGATGTCCTGGATATTATCTCTTTTTTTCTAGGAAGAAAAAATTAAAAATAAAATAAAAAATGAGAAGCAGAGGGTGCTAGTAAATTTAGATGAGAAAAAACAAAAAATTGTTCTTAAGAAATATTTGCCTACCTTGATGGGTACGTATCGTATTTCCCAGTACCGATTGTTGCTTTATTTCTTTCCCTTTTTTTAATGTTATGCTTTATTTCAAAATGTCTGCTAAGTTTTGGGGGACCCTTTGTCTTATTTTCAGACCACTTTATTTGAAATAAATATTCAAAAGAATACCACTTTAAAGATCATTCTTATTCATCGAATTTTTCAAATAAAATATATTATTCTTATTCATCGAATTTTTCAAATAAAAGATATTATCCTAGTTTAAAACTCTTTTTTCTTTTTCTGTGTTTGTGGGTGAGTCGATGGGCAAAAGGCTCCCACCCTCGGTAGGAATTGAGCCTAAGACGTAGCTTTGTAAAGGAATTGAGCCTAAGACATAGCTTTGTAAATCAAAGCTCTAACCAATTAAGCCAGGGATCGCTCTTTTTCTAAACAAGTGGTAAAGTCAGTAGCGATTTGAACCTCTACCATTTTGGTGAGAATGAGTCAAAGATATCATCATGAAGCTCGACAATACTACTTTCAATAATACCCTACACCATTCGAGAAAAAAAAAATTCTTAGAACTTTGAGTTAGCATAATTTATATCTTTTCCCATACCCACAATTGTTCAAGATCGAGTAGAATGCTTGGAGCGAGCCTCCATTAATATCACGATCAAATTCACAGCATTATTGTGTGTAGGAAAATTATATGCGCCACAGCTCATTTAAAAATGTCCATACCAAGTGGCATCTAAAATGTTTCACATTTTAGTGACATCTAAAATGTGGATGTATATGTACATTCGTAATGTCCGAACTAGAAAAGGGATTTAATATTTTTCAAAAGAAATACACAAACACCAATTAAGGGGTGAAACAGGTGACATTCAACTAAAATAAGTCTTCAAAAAGTCATTAATTAACCCTAAAAATTTGAATAATTATTTTACCAATCATGGGTTATTGGAATTGAGTTTGATAATTAAGTTAAAAAATTCAAATTAATCGGTAAAAATAAATAAAAAATGCAGGCCATGCTAACATAAAATGTCAACATATTGTTACAGTATGTTACGCAGTGAATCTTAAAACAACAGTAGAGTTTAGACTTAGAGGAAGCCCATCACCATGGTAAACGTACAGATCCTTCAAATGGCCATAATCTCATCTCCACCATCCATTACCTGCTTGACAATTGATGCATACTACTAAGGAACATTGTTACGGTATGCTACCCAGTGAGTATATACATCCATGTTCTTAGTGAGCATAGTTCTACAGGGCTATCCAATTCTTCTTGGACTATTTACAGTTTGTTACATAGTGAGTATGTTACCAGTGCATGTGTGTGCGCGTGTGGGATAATTTTCACAAAATTTAGGCAGCAAGAGAGAAAGGCAGTTCGAAGAAATGGTATGAACTGATTTTTTTATCAAAAATTTGCAATTATATGCCTCAGTTCTAACGAAGAGAGAGAGGCAGTTCGAAGCAATGGCATAAACTGATTTTTTTTATCAAAAATTTGCAATTATATGCCTCAGTTCTAACGAAAACAGATGAATTCCTTTTGGCCACAGATTCGGTCGCACTGGAATTTATCGCGCATTTATGTTTGGAAGCCCGACGATCCTGGTCACCATCCCTGAAACTTGCAAGCAAGTACTAATGGATGACTCTAATTTTGTTCCCGGTTGGCCGAAGGCAACTGAAGAACTGATAGGAAAGAAATCATTTCTCTTAATTACTCCTGAGGAGCACCGATGGCTCCGAAAGGTCACTGCAGCTCCTGTGAATGGGCACGAAATGCTCTCGAATTACTTGAAATTTATCGAAGCTTCGGTGATTTCGAGTCTAGAGAGCTGGGCACAGTTGGGTGAGATCGAGTTCTTGACAGAGTTAAGGAGGTTGACATTCAGGATAATAATGCATATTTTCCTCAGCTTAGAGGGGGAGACGACGATGGTGGCACTGGAGAAAGTTTACACAGCACTGAACAAAGGGATAAGAGCCATGGCCATCAATTTCCCTGGATTCGCTTACTATTACGCGCTCAAGGTCTGCATCTCTTTCTCTCACTGCACATCCGACAACTATAAATGGTTATGACATTTTTTAACTAATTGTATATTTTATTAAAGAAAAAAATAGCATTATTTACTTTTTACTTTTAATACAATAAGGTCACAATTGCCATCAAATACAAAATTAGATGGCTTAATGTGACATTTTCCCTCACAAAGTCCATAACAGTTTATTTTTTAAACCTTACAACGTGGTAAGTGACGTAACTAAAATCAGGCGGAAGCTGTTATTTTAAAAATATAATTTCTAGGAACCTGCTATGTTATTTTTCATATAAGTGTTCACAAACTCGAACCAGCCGATCAATTTTGGTTGTTCGACAAGGTATTTAAAAAAATAAATAAATAAATAAAAAAACTTTATATAAAATCTCAAAAAATAAAAGATTTGTTTGTAATGTGTTTTTTAATGTTTTTTTTATCATTTTGGCAAAGATCGAAAATTGTTCGTGCAAAGAATACTTACTTTAACATTTTTCCATCTTTTTTTTTTTTGAAAAGGTTTAAAAATACCTCACTAGTTTTCGATTACATTTTTTTTAACACTTTTTAAACCGATCAGACGGTCAAGCCTTCATACTTGAATGTAGCACACAAAGTGAGTAGAGTAGAGTAGAAGAAGTTCCTCACAAATGAGTTTTCAGGCTAGGAAAACGTTAGTGGCCGTAATGCAACGGACCATTGATGAAAGGAAAGAGGTAAGGAGAAGCAGAGGTCACGAATCTTCTACATTACGAAAAGACATGTTGGATTCTCTAATGGACGTCCAAGACGAAAACGGACGGCATCTGGCGGACGATGAGATCATAGACACCCTCATCATGTATTTGAATGCTGGCCATGAATCTTCAGGCCATATCACAATGTGGGCAACCCTTTTGCTTCAACAAAATCCTCTCGCCTTTCAAAAAGCCAAGGTAAGATGGTGCACTCCTCTCGTCTTTCATAAATCTTCGGAATAATAAGGAGTTCGGTTGTTTTCAGCTTGATTGGACCTGCAACCAGACCCAACCAAATGAGTCTTGAGTCTAAGTTCGAAATATAATATGTTATATTGTATAAAGATCAGGATCGGGCCCAGACCTAGATCATCGGCTCCAGCTCAACCTGGACCGTGGTCGGTTCGGCCCAACATTATCAACTAGGGCCGGCAATGGGCCTGGCAAGGCCGGCCGGCCTATTGCCACCCTTAATGTCAACCTTATGAATAATGAGAAGGTGGTTTTGTTTAGGAGGAGCAAGAAGAGATATTGAGGAGGAGGCCACCAAACCAAAAGGGCTTGAGCCTGCAAGAGACTAGAGAGATGGTCTATCTATCAAAGGTTAGTTGTTTTGCAACCAATTTGTACTCAATCCTCATTGCTAAAAGTTTCATCTTGTCTTTAAAGAAAAAGACGCCATTGTTCTAATTTTAAATGAATAAAACACTACGTCAAATTTTTTAGAGCCTAGTATTTTTTTTTAGTTTTCGAAATTCAATCCTAGTTCAAATCTATCCGAATTCCAAGCTTCTAAAGTAATTGACAAAATAAATCAGAATTTGTGCATGTTTTGCTTTTCAACATAACAAATAAAAAATACTCGATCAGATCAATTAATTGTCACTCCACAAATACATAAATTATAAGTGTAGAGACTCATGGGAATTCTGCTTGTTCACCCTTTCCCTTGCACTACTAAAACAAAATGCATTGTGATTTCTTTTTTAAGTGATAATATCTAATATCTTTTTATTAGTCAAAATGACCATGCTTTCTACTCATCAAAAACAAAACTTATGAATTTTGCTTTTTTCTTTGGGTGTGGTTTCGATAAGGTTACAACCTTAAACATTCCAATTAAGGCACACCTCCAAATTTTATCGTAACATGTAATTTTGGTGTAAAGCATTCTTAGGATTATCTTAAAATCTATTTGCATATTTTCATATCTAATTATAAAATTTAAAACTCTAAAAATGGTTAAAACCAATTGGATTTATAAACATATGAAAATCTTAAAAATCGACGGTCTAGATAATATGTTGCAAGATGCACTATTTCTGGGACTCAAAATCTTTTTGTTTTTCTGTTTTTTTTCATATTCATATATCTCAATGTTGAGATGATCAATTAGAGGGTTTAAAACAACCTCTTTCCGATAGACTTTTTAGGTGCATCTTTAATTCTATATTTTAAGGTTGCAACCTTATATAAACTTTTTCCTTTTCCTCTTATCTAATTTTCCATTAAGATGAGCTTTGGCATGCTGCAGGTGATTGATGAGACCCTACGAGTGGTGAATATCTCCTTTGTGGTCTTCCGACAAGCCGTCAACGATGTTATGATCAACGGTCAGTTTTATTTCCTTTGTTTACTTTCCATTTATTTTCATGGGCAAGATTTCTATTGGGTTTGATACATTTGTTCTCAAGTGTCTAGGGACCAATATTGTCAATTTTTGTCCAAACGGCTAGCAATAATCACACAATAATTATCATCATCATAACTTGTTTTCAACTAATTAAGGTTGGCTGCACGAATCATGGTCTATCATTATGCTTTATCAAGGGCCTTACCCTTAGTGAGGCCATAAGTCCCCATATTTTTTCTCAAAACTTTCAACCATGTCATTTTGGGTCTATCCCTCCAAAGTTCAGCTATTTTTAAAACATTTAGATTTTAGAGCATCCTTCCAAAGTTCTACCTTTATGTTGACATTGTTTCGGGTCTTATCGATCAAAACTATACTGTTTGCAAACAACATACATCACGGTATCTCATCTTGTAGGTGCCTAATTAAACCGTCTATGAGTAGGACAAAAGTATGAGCTCATCTTGTAGGTGTCTAATAATCATACAATACTACTACACATTAATTTCGGCCTTAGTTTTTAACTTTTTTTGAAGTCATTGTCGACCATCTAATCAAGAGACTACAATGTCATTTCTAGAACACATAAATTATTTGAGTATAAAGACTCATAGACAGGTCAAACTACATGTTTTAAATCTATTCCATTTATTTCTTAAATGACTTTCTCTATTTGTTCTTCTGGCTTTCACAATTTTAGAAAGGTCAACCTTATAAAAAATGTATGAAAAAACGGATGATCTATCTACATGGGAGAGTTTTTTCTATCTGAAATTCTGAGATCAATCTAAGAATCACCAGGTGATTGTTTTAAAAAAGAAAATGGATTTTGAGTTTCTATCAACACTAGGATCTTTGCTCTCTAAAAATTGGATTGTCCATGTTCAATCATTGGACAGGGACATTGTTTTTACAGGCCCATAACATGTGTGATTACATTGATTTGTACTTTTTTAAAGTAATTTCAAAAATTGGTCTCTAGGTTCAGGGGGTTACATCCCTAAAATTGGGGTCCTAATATCACTTTTACGTTGGCTTTTTTTACCTTAGGAAATGCTCCTATAGAAGCGGGAATCCCCAATTATGGGTTTAAATTATAGAAGTTATATGAGAAAATGATGAAGCCCTTACTCTTTCCAGGTTATATTGTGCCCAAGGGCTGGAAAACCCAAGTGTGGTTAAGAAATGTTCACATGGATCCAAAGGTCTACCATGAGCCCGGGACTTTTAATCCAAGTAGATGGGACGTAAGCATCTCTCCCTTACACACACTCTCTCTCTCTCTAAAGCGGGAGATGTATTACTTACACTTTTATATGGCAAAATATATAAAGAGATCATTTACTTTTAATACAAGAAGGTCAAAATTACTTTTGTCTGTCAGATTTCAAATCGGCTGTTTGTGTGTGCGCCAATGACTAAAAGTTCAAAAAAAATTTCTCAAACTTTGTGTCATATCCCGAAATCCAAGTTGATATATAATAGATATTACTAATTGTGACCTCCTTGTCTCAAAGATAAATAGTCTTATAGCATATAATCCCCATTATTTGTTTGTATGAATAATTGTTTCTAATTAAATTTTTTGTAGGATTATACTCCAAAGGCAGGGAGTTTCATTCCCTTCAGTGCAGGAAGCAGGTTGTGCCCTGGAAATGATCTTGCCAAGCTAGAGATCTCTGTTTTCCTCCACTATTTTCTACTCGATTATCAGTAAGACTTCCTCTTCTTTAACCGCGAGAGAGTCACACAAATAACCTCTAAACAAAAAAAATTTAAACTAATAAAAAATAATTTTGGGCATAATTTATCTCTAGGCAGCTCCAGTAGAAATGACCAATCGTAGGAGCAATCTAACAAATTTGTTAAAAATAATTAAAAATCAGCAAAAAGTGAAATAAGTAATAGAAATCATTAAGAGTCTATATAAAAGATAGATGATTATAAATTTTGATTCATACCTTGAAATATTCAGAGACATAAAAAAAAAAAATTGAAGCATGTAATAACAAAAGTTCCCAAATCATGATAAAAACCGTGTGATAAAAATTGAAGCATGTAATAACAAAAATTAGGACTTCTAAATAATTTTAAACAAAGGCAAGTCTTTGATCTCACATCGGGCACAGGCCGAGACCGAGTTACTCAGCCTAGTCCTTGAACACTATTTGGATTGTCATTTCCTCAAAAGATTTGCCAGAATTTCAGAATTTTGTCCTCGAACAAATTTTTCCTGTTTTTGGTCCTTTGGGGTCGTAGGGAGTCTCCAAAGAGTAAAACTCAATTGACCAACAAATGCAGGGATAAAATTTTGCTCCCATCATAAAGTAAAATTAAAATTAAATAATCCATATTTTTTTTGTGAGCCAAAAGATCATGTGGTTCTACAGAAGTTTCACCAAAAAAAAAACACCTAAAAGGAAAAAATTATGTTCCCAAAGAAGCATAAACTACATTTACTCTATCCGATAAAAACATATTTAGAAGTATTTTTAGGACCCCAAATTTAGAGATGTATAAGTCCATCTAGTGACCACCAAAAAAGGTATAAAAAAAAAGAACTTCGAATCCATTTGTACCCTGATAAAATAATGTGTCTTAAACAGAGACTGTCCCATATTAGGACAGTCAGATCTAGGTGATTTGGAGCTCAATTCTCATAACTGGTTCTGTTGACCGAGGGAGTAAATGTACAATGTGCTCCCATGGATGTGTATACGTGGTACATTCTATTTTGTTTCAAATTTACATGTACACCACAAGCAAATCTCTCTCTCTCTCTCTCTCTCTCTAATAATTTTTCATCGAAATTTGCAGGCTTGAGCGTGTTAATCCCGATTGTGCAGTGAATTATCTTCCACATCCTCGACCCAAGGACAATTGTCTTGCTAGAATCCAGAAAATACGGAGGTCGCCATAGTGCAAATTGTCCACCCTTCTCTTGAAATATGTTCAAGGTCAATAAAAATGGCTGTTTTCTAGTCATTACTAATAAAGTATCTGTTCTTGAAAATGTAATACCTAAAACGCAGAGAGCTCTTGAAAATATACACATTGTTTTGTTTTTCTATCACTTCCCGATTTGTTTTGCTCTTTTATGGGTTCACCATGTATCCCACACTGTGAAGTGTGAACTATATTAATACACACCAAGAATATAGACACTAAATTCCATGCAAATTCTTGAGCAGGGTATTTTCATTCATTCACCAAGGCCTAAACATAAACTAGTAGTGGAAGGCCTGGTTCTTAAAATCATCTCATTGCTAAAAAAGTGGACCTATTAAGATGGATCCATGTTATGGAAGCATGCTCCTAATCTATAGTAAACAATAACACACAAAAACAGTTAATCAGAGAGAGAGATACAGTGAGTTCAATATTCGTTGCTACAAAGACTATACGTGCGTACGTGTTCGGTATGAGTAAAAGTGTCCGAAACGCCATCCCTAAAATTGGCATTTCACACACAAATCCATACATCATTTGTGATAATAATGATGACGACTTCAATGATGTCTTTACTTGGTGAAAACAAAAGGTCTACATAAGGGGAAAGGTGCACATTTTGGTGACAAAGGTATTTTTCAAGAAGATTTCAATATGAAAGGTTAATTGGTGTCTAAAATTTCAAAGGCATCAGGAGTATCATGTCCATGGTGTAATGATACAAGCCAAAACCTGTGAACACCTATGTCCTTGTGACATAGACTCATAAAGCCTAAAGAATGATTCATCCATGAACTCCCCCAGACTAGTCAAAAAGCCTAGGATACACACAATTAGGGGGGAGACAAGCACGCATCACTAAGGGCATTATCTTAAGTCGATTATATCATCAGAACCATTGAGGCCATTAATGAATACATAGCATGTATCTGGTGGCCCCATGTGAAATTCAAAAATTTAAGCATACAATGTAATCGTTTTGTAGAAAATGTATACATTCATGAGCTTCGGAATTAATGAGGTACAAGATAATGCAAATGCTGAGATATGCAACCCAGATACGATTATATTGACCTTTGATAACAAATTTTGAACATGGAGGGAGAGAGTCGGTATCACACTTGACCGGTTATTGACAAACATGACACAAACATGACAACCAAAAGAAAAGTCGACTGCTAGTATCCATATACATGAATTCAGAACCTCGAGTATTCCTTAGTGAGCGGCATTCTCGTCCTCACAGAACTTTGTGTACTCTTTAGAGCCCATCAAAGACTCGAGCTCTGATGGGTTGCTTGGCTTCACTTTTATCATCCATCCCTCTTCATACGGGCTCGAGTTGATCTAGAGATAGAAAGGGAAAAGGAGCGAAACAAGGAGCAGAGGAGGCAAGCCAGAGTACTCCAAATAAGTTGTAGTCCCCATAAGCATTAACAGTTTACATACTACACTAATTATCCAACTGTAAACATATCCATTCTCTTTCTCATTATGCTATAGCCAAGCCCAATATTTTGGGAATGAAAACAGAAGTCAATTTATCAAAGCACATCATGGTCTACACATGGTCCAGAATCGAATAACCTATCACCCATCCATTTGCTCCATTCCAGCATCAGTGGCATCCATTTGCATTTTACTATATTATTATGATCTTACTAGGTCAAATAATTGAAACGTAATATAAGCAAATTATAAAAAAGAGACTGAATCCAGAACAAGTTCGAACAAAGCAAACTTAAAAGTGAAAAAATGCACTAGAACCAATTGGTGTGAAAAAATTATCACACCTAATCACATGAAGAAAGTATTTTCACAGGTACCAAATGTGCCTTAAGTAACAAGAAGATCTGATGGATTTGTGCTGTGTATCTCAACTTGGAAGTCTTACTCCGTTAGTTTTACAAGATTATGGAATCATGCAATACTTCTTTGTTTTCTTTTTTTTTTCCTTCCCCCCTTATCAATTTGATTCATGTAATGCTCTTGCAGCCCCCCGTTACGGTTCAAAAAAAAAAAGCTCTTGCAGCCCCCCAAATATCTTAGGACTCCAAGGACATCATATATGTGACAGCTTCAGATTTCAATCTATTTTATGTTAATTATATATAAGCACAAACCACAATTTGGGAATACTTGTGTAGAAAAAGTAAAATAGAAAAGCCTAATGCAAGTCCATCAAAAAAAGATACAGAACCAAGGATTGCTAAGACCTGCAAATGGATACCACATGGTACAAGTTATCAAAATTAAAGACAAAAATTAACTGAACAGAGCAAGACCGAGTGAAAGATGCTTCTAAGTTGAGGACTATAACCATCCAAGAAATCCATCTACCAATATTAGATAGCTCTAGTTTCCAGTTTAAGAAATGAGGTCAGTAATAGAAGCGATGAGAGTATTTTAAAGATGTATGAGTCCCTTCAAATTGCAGATAACTTGCAGTTAAAGGTGGTCCAAGTAACATAGTTCAAACAAAAGAAACCCTGCACAATTCAACCAAATAAGAAACGAGAACTTTTGAACGAAAATGGAATATCCCAAGAAAAGCCCCCAAAGATTTCAGACAGCAAGATAATAAGAAAGGCTAACTGCAATATTCAACTAACTTATGGCGAGAAGGGGAACTTAAATTGGGTGAGTAGGGGAGAATTTACCAAACCAGGAGCTCCACTTAGCTTTGTGTTGACCTCAACAACTTCTCCCGAAATGGGTGAATTCACATCACTCGTTGCTTTCACACTCTCAACTGCTCCAAAGCCACCCCCTTTTGACACAGAGACGCCGGTTTCCGGAAGGTCCACAAACACAACCTCTCCAAGATGGTCCTGCAACAAAATCACGATGTAAATAAAACGCCATTTGACAACTATTTGATAAATCTCTCTCTCTCTCTCTCTCTCTCTCTCTCTCTCTCTCTCTCTCTCTCTACT